ATTGTATGAGCATGTATTCAGCTTTAGACAATTTCACCCAACAGGTTTCTAAAATGAGTGTATCTTGCGAAATTCTTACCAGAGCAATGGACAAGAATTATAGTTGCTTCACTTCCTTGCCCACACTTGATATTTCCATCTTTTTCCTTCTACAAATCTATTGGGCATATAGATTGTTCACATGCACTATGTTCTTCCATTCTCCCCAAAGGCTTCATGCTTAGTTCACAGATGAGAAGATGGAGGCTTAGAGAGAGGAAACTCTTGCCTCGTGGCACACACAACTTGCCAGTGGAAGCATGGAGACTGGAGCCAGAATTCTCTACAGCAGAGATCTCCAACCCCCGAGTTGCAGACCGGTACCAGTCTGTGGCCTGTTAAGAGCCAGGCCGCACAGCAGGAGGTGAGCAGTGGGCGAGCGAGCCGAGCTTCTGTGTTTACAGCCATTTCCCAGCACTAGTATCACCACCTCAGCTCCACTTCAGATCATCAGGCATTAGATTCTCGTAGGAGCACCATTCCTCGGTGCCAAAAAGTTGGGGATTGCTGCTCTACAGGAAACCTGTTGCTGCAGGCATGTGGGTGTGTGGAGATAGCCATGGGTAGATGCTCAGTAGATTTCCTAATACAAAGTGGTGAGTAGGGCTGAGGCCTTCTCCTCCCCCTTGAAACTGTCCAGCAGGCCAGGTGATGACATCTGTCCCTGTCCATTCTCTGAGTTGCTGAGGGAAGGCAGCAGTGAGGCCAGCCCTCTCATGGGAAGGCCAGGGTGAGGTTTGGTGGAAGAGGATCCCTTCCCCCGACCTTAATTACTGAGAGTTCTGGAGGGCAGTATAGTGTGGTCATAGTAGGGAGCCTCAGAGCAGTGCAGCAGTGGAGTCAGGCGGCCAATGTGTGGTCTGCCTCTCTTGGCTGAGATGTAGGGGTCATAACTATGATCTCCAAGCCTCTCAAGTCCTCATTTGTTAAATGGGCCTGGTGACAATGCTTTCCTGGAAGGTGGCATGAGCCTTGTATGAAGCAAGGGAACATATTTTGACTGGCTCCCTCGGCCCTATGAGAAACTCAGATGAGGACCTGGTGCAGCCAGGTAGGGGTGGGGATAGAAGGAATCGGTGGGCAGGGCAGAGGGCAGTAGAAGGAAAGCTCTCCTCAGAGTCTCTGGCATCTGGTATTTGGGGAGGGCCTGAATGATGAGAAGGGTGCTGGGATACTGCCTATCCACCCAATCCTCCTATGTGTTGTCATATTATTTTCTTCAGCTGGAGCCAAGCTGCTTTGGGGGTAGGTTCTGTGAAAGAACCTGAGAACATGGCCCCTTTATCTGATCAGGGGTCTGCCTGCTCTCTGGGCCTATAATTATGGGTCAGACCTCAGGCTGGCCTTACAGGGAAGAAAGGAAGAAGGCCAGGGCTCCCCTCTGTTAGATGGGGAAAACTCAGGAGGAGAAGACAAGAGACTTGTCCAGAGATCTTGGTCTCTCAGCAGTGGAGGCAGGACTAGAACCCAGCTCCCTGATTCCCAATGCGATACACACCCTCCTCCACCGTAATGTTGACTCCTAGGGACCCTTGGGTCCCTCCCTAGGTCTGTGTTGATGCAGCCACTTCTTTTTAATAGCCTCACACTGACCTGCCCCTCCTTCTTTCCTTCCCAACCTTCCACAGAGAGTTTTAGAGAGGTGGCTCTGTGCAGCCACATTCCCAGTTATAAGAAATATAAGTGTGAGCAAAATAGTCATGGTCTTGGCTTTTGTGGACTTTGCCATCCAGTGGCAAAGGCTGATGAGTCTGCTGACAATTATGGCACAAGAGCAGTGCCCTGAGACAGAGTGCACAAGCACTGTGGCCCTACTGTCTGGGTGGGATTGAGGAGAAGCCAGTAGGTTTCCCTGGAGGAAGTGATGTTTTAGCTGAGACCTAAAGGCTGAGAAAGAAGCTGCTACGCAAGGTTGTGGGGCCATTGGGGAGAGAGAGGGTGTTGCTGGCAGGTTTCACAGCACCATCAGGAGCTGATAGGTTGCACGGAGCAGGATATGGGCCAGCAAGTGGAGGAAGCCCTGTAGGAGCTGCAGGGAGGGGAGAATGTGAGAGGAGTCGGGAAATGCTCCTATTGAGATTGGAGACCTAGACCAGAGCCAACCCACTATAGGGCCTTGCAGCCAGGCCACCGGGTGTGGGCTTTGCTCTGAGACCCCAGGGAGCCATGAACAGGCTTGAAGACAGGGTGTCACATGGCCAGACTATGCTTTAGAAATCCGTGATTGCAAAGAAAAAGCAATGCTTTAAGGGGCAAAAAACACAGGCAGAAATTTAAGAAAAGAAGAAAAGCAGATGGCTGGTAAACAAAAGTTAGGCTGCTCATCCTCATTAGTGACAAAGGACATGTAAATTGAAACCATACCTAGATACCATTTCACACCTACTATGTATGGTAACAGGGTTAGTGAGGAGGTGCAGCCCTCGTCAGCAG